TTATTTGGAAAATATTTGTGTCTTTTATTCATTGTAACCATAAGGCACAGTGTCTGTTGAATCAAGTAAAACAATTCTCTTATCATCACCATAACTCAGTGCTAACTTGTTCTGTTTCACCGTGTGAACTTGATGTTTTTTACTTTGAATCAAATATTGTGATTTCACCAGTCTCTTCTGCTGAAAGAGACAGTTTTTATAGTCTTCAAAGGTAATTGTTCTCAGTGTTGCCCCTCTCACACCTTAGGCTCGTTTTTTCTCTCGCGCATCACCCAACACCTTGAAAGTATAAAGCTTGGCACGCAGGCCCACAAAATCAGTCATAATTTTACCATTACATTCATCCTTCATTAAACCTATCACTTTATTATTCACTCTTGGTATTTGATAAACATTCTCTGCTGGGTAGTCGGAAGTGTCAAATTTCAAAATATCTCTTTTGATGAAGTTATAAATGTCGGGAACATTGAACTGATACAGAAGGCTGTCTGTGTTTATTAATTTAGATCGCTCTCCAAATTCACGTTTCACATAATTATAGTGGAAAACGTAGATGTAAATTTTTGACAAGTCCAAAATGGCGAATCCAATGTAGATTGGTTTATTGAATATAATTTGAACTCTTTTCAGCTCAATGATCGTCATATAATCGTCAAAAATTAGACTACTGTGGAAATTTGGCTGGGTAATGTAGGCTCTCGCGCCATATCTTCCATCCCACTTGGTGATCCACTTGACATCTCTGTGCTTTCTCACATTTTCCATCGTTTTTCCAAAAACTGCGTTGTTCATTAGCTTGAAAATATTCTTTTCAAATTCATTTGTCGATTTTGTTCGCATCTCTGTATTTAAGTCGATGTAGGTCTTGAGCCATGCTGCTTGCTTGAATTTTAAGATTCGGTGGATTTTCGTTAATCGCATACCAAGACTCAGACATTGCTTCAAATTCCAATAATGAATTATATTGTCTTTTTTATCGTAGAGTGTTGTCATGAGGTTGGTATTCTTGCGTTTCGGTGGAATAAAATGCTCGGGACATAGCGGCAAGTCCTTGTGTACATAATGTAGCTCGTTAGGATATTCCAAATCCACCTCTAAGATATATCCAACTGGTGAATCATCGGGAACATTGAAGATATTGAATCCTTCGACTTTTTCCCACTCAAATCTACCAAAGGGCAAGTACTGACTCATGGCTGCCCCATATAAATTGTTGACATCAAAGTACATGAGATAGGACTCCTCTTCGTTTGGATTATAATTCTCACCCATATACCGATTGTTGGCATGAGCATAGCGATTTGTACATTGAGGTACACCACCTCGGATCCCTTTTTCAATGAATAAGAGCTTATCAGCGTCTGTAAAAA